TTCTTGATGCTGGGACAAGAACCCCGGCACCTTCAGTTCTCCAGAACTCAGTAGTGTAACTGTTCTATCCATTACCTCCTCAGCCCTTACTTTACCTCCTCAGCCCTTGAGGCCATTTGTGTTTGCTTTACACAGTACTAGTTCTATTAGTTTCTGTTTCTTAAGTTTTAGATGGGTTTCTGGAATACTCTTTACTTACTGAACATCTGTAATGAATGCCCTACAGGCACCTCAAACACAGTATTATCAGTAAAATAAAAATTAAAGCATTCTGCCCTCCCCCATGCAGCATACTCTCCTCCTTTGTCCAAGCTAGAAACCTATCCATTACTTTGACTTTTTCTCCTGTGTCAAATATACTAGAAAATATGACTTTATTCACAATAAAACAACAGAGTACCCAAGAAATAAACTAAGAAAGAATGCCTAAGACCTTTATCATGAAAAGTATTAGAACCCTATTAAAGTAAAAACAAGAATGAATAAATGGAACAAAAAAAGAATGTATGTGGATAGACTATCTTTTTTCCCCCTCTTCTTTTTGGATAGGATATCTTAACATAGTAAAGTTTTATGTTAATTCTTCCCAAAGAAAGCTATGCATTCAATGAAATCTTAAAATCCCATTGGATTGTTTGAGGAACTCAACAAACTCATTCCGATATTTATACGGAAAACAGGGGTTCATGAATAAATCAATTTTGAAAAGTAAAAGGAGAGTAGTAACTTTTCCCACCAGATATTAATATATACTACAAAACCAAAGTGATGAAAATAGAATGGTTCTGCTTAGGAGCAGACTAATATACAAACAAAACAGAATAGAGAGCTCAGAAATAGACCCATACATATATGGGAATTTGATAGATGATAAAGGTGGTACTACAAAGGAATGTAAAGAAGACGGTCTGAAGAAAACCAGGTCATTATGTGGAAAAATACATCTGAACCCCTCCAGTTGGAGTGGAGAACTAAATGTGAAAGTTAAAATTATGTTATAGAAGAAAATATGACTTAGGATGGGAAAAGACTTTATGAATAAGATTTAAAAGCCCAAATCATAAAGCATATGAAATAAAATGAAGTTAAATAAAAAAATTAAGGATTTCTGTTCAATAAAAAAAACTACAGACAAAATTATCAGATATATAACAAATTGAGAGTAGATATCTGTAAAGGATTAGTATCTAGTTTATAGAAAGAACTGCCAAAAAAAAACCCCCAAAAACAAACCACACATCCGCCAAGGAATAGGCAAAAAGATAAATAGGCAATTCACAGAAGGGAAAGTCCAAATAGCCATTTCAACAAATAAATGAAATCCTCTGGTAATCAGAGAAATGCAAATTAAAACAACAATGAAATACCTCTTTACATTCACAAAAATGGCAAAAAACACAAGAGTGACTAACATTATGTATTAGGATGTGGAGGCCACAGAACTCCTGTGCACTGTTGGTGAGAGGGTAAAGGTATACAGCCATTCTGGAAAACCATGTAGTGGAACATAGTGAAATCAAATGTTTGCCCTATAAACCAAAAATCACATTCCTTGCTACCTATCCCAAAGAAATGAGTGCACAGGTAAACAAAATGGCACGAACAAGGCTCGCTTTTTCATTGTGCTATTGATTGTGTTAATAGGCAGTGATGGCAAACCTATGACACATGTGTCAGGTGACATGCGAACTCATTTTTTTGGTTGATTTTTCTTTGTTAAATGGCATTTAAATATATAAAATAAATATCAAAAATATAAGTCTTTGTTTTACTATGGTTGCAAATATCAAAAAATTTCTGTATGTGACACGGCACCAGAGTTAAGTTAGGGTTTTTCAAAATGCTGACACGCTGAGCTCAAAAGGTTCGCCATCACTGTAATAGAGAATTGGAGATAACTGAGATGTTGACAACTAGTGGATTAAATAATATGTGGCATACATATATCTTGAAATACTATGCAGCACTTAGTATATTGTTAATTACTAATATTAATAACTAATAAAATTAACATTCATTTTTAAAAAATTTTAATCAAATACTACTTATGTAAAAGAAATAGACATGAAACATTTTATAAGGATAGATTTACATTTAAGGACATAAACCACACAAGTGAGAGTGGGTATTCATATAGACAGAAAGGAGGTAATGGGACTGATGAATAGAGATATAGAGCTACAGTAAAACAAAAACCACCTCCACCCCCCCAAACAGAAGGGCAGCCCATGGGCCAATGTTGATGTTCTGTGAACTAAGGAGTATGATTAAGTACAAAATAATAACTAAAAACACAAATTACAAAATCAAAAAATAGTGAATAACGTCAAGTAGTATGCTTCGCAAGGGCAAAAGTCTGAGACCAAAGGCTGCGAGCTTCTCTGCCACTCCAGGTCTTCCTTAGCTACGTTCCCACACCCTCACGGACCGCCCTGCCCCCACAGTCGGCGGGAAGTGCGCATGCGCACGGTGAGGCCCTTCCCGCTCCCCGTCGCTTCTCTTCCGGTTTCGGCCCCGCCCACCGCGGGCGCTGTCGTTTCCGGTTCAGCTCGGGAACAGCCGGAGCGCTTTGGGCCTTCGCTTCTTAGGTCCTCCCACTTCTCTAAACGCTCCCGCGACTGCCTCGGTCGCTGGGGAAGGTATTTACCAATAAAGTTTTACTATTTCAAAGCCGGGCGGATTGGGCTGGGTCCAACCGCCTTCCCCGGGCAGTTCCTCTCGGCTCCTGGCTTCGAGCTTCCGGCCGTCATGGCCAGGGGCCGCCGAGGCCGGGCGGGTTTGAGGCC